ACACACTTCAGCATGTGTTCAACGCAACAAACAACCTTGCATGTTCCATGACCCCCCTTTTCATGTGTGTGAACCCCTTTCCGTTGAAACAGCCAACATTCACAAATCAGCAAAGGCACACAAAGGGCTTCGGGAGTGCTTCGCGCCATGGTTGCTCAAGCACCCACTTCTCGATGGCAGGCCCGGGGCCCCAGCTTGATGACCGAGCACGGAGGGACTCAGCCAGCTTCAATATTGATTTCCTTGGGCATCAAAAGTGGACTTGCAAACAAAACCCTTGGTTAAGATGGGCAAGCACAAGTACCCAAGATGCGGGATCAGGCAATGAGGTAAATTCGCTACCCGCCCTGGCAGGCACTAGGACACTACACCGTTTTCCATTTTGTTTGGGCATGCCAGTGAACCCAGCCTACCATTGATTGCACCCGCTGCAGATGCACCTCCCAGTGCTAGCCCCCATCTTGCAACAAGCAACATGTTCCAGGCCTCTCCAGAGCCTAGCATGTCCAAAAACTCCCGCACAAGGCCGGACACTGTGTCCGCCAAGGCTTCATCGCTTGTAGGGCCTTCATGGCCTGATACCGCCCAAGGGCTTTGCATGAGCTGTGAAATCTCACGGGTATGTAGACCAACTGTTGCCATGAATGCAAAATGGTTGCGCTTCAGGCACTGACTCTATCAAGGAGCTTTGCCAGCTATTTGCTCTTTTGTTTTATCTCCAGCGGCCGGTGCTTTAAGGCACATTGCTCAGTAGCTACACGCACAAGGCCCAAAGCTGCCCCCGTCACCACCGTTCATCCAGAACCATATGCATTGATCAGCCATTCTGAAAACACTTGATTCACCTAATGGTTGCAACAGCAACTGCTTAGGGCTGGCCCCAAAGCAGACACACATGGTTGTGAATCTGCCTACCCCATTGTGCATGTTTGGCACACCGACCCCACTAGGAACTAGGCGCCCCTCACCACTCTTCCTCGCCCCAATCTTCATTGGCCCAATCTTCATTGGCCCAATCTTCATTGGCCCATTCCTGGTCATCATCGCATGGCCACTCTTCCATCCAGGTGGCAGCAGTAGTTGTTGCGCTTGCTGGCGAAGGCGAGGTCTTGGGCGCTTTGCGCTTTGGGCCCTGCTTTTCCTGCTTGCGCTTTTCCGCGGCAACACCTGGGGCTCCACTGAAACCTCATCAAGGGGGCTTTAGATAAGGGTGCCCTTGTTGGATGGCTTTCACGGGGCAAGGAAAACCACACATGCTGAGGGACAAACCCATTTGGCAACTCCAAAGAAAAAGGTAAAGATGCACCCCTATAAACAGCTTGTTGGCCTAGACCTGGCTCTGCGCCATTGAAGCTTGAGGGGTTTGATCAAGGCCTAGAAATTGACGGAAACAGCACTAAGCCAAGAACGTCGATCATGACTTGTCTTGATCGTCTCAGCGTCTGTCACGAGCTTTGACGCGTCCTACAATTGGTTCGGGTTGCTTGCAAAGCAAACATCACTCATGCCCAATGGTCCTGAATGAGATTTTCCTGGGATCTGATCACCGACAGGCACTCACTGAGAGGCTTTGCGTTGAAGATCATGTCGTTCACCGAGTTGCAAAGCTTTTGCAAGAAGGTAAACCGTTGACCCAGCTTGCTGATGGCCTGCTCTTGGTGTAGGATTCCAGAGCTTTTCAGGCCCTCCGCAGCGCTCCTTGCACGTGTCATGAGCTTGCCCAGCCTTGGTTGGGCAAACGCTTGCGCCAGGCATCACAGCTGTGTTCTTCAATCACTGATGCAGGCTTGGAAGCTCAGTCATGGTCTTATCGAAGTCTTTCTTCTCGGCTTGCTCAGGGCTCACCTCGCAGGGCAATTGAGTGAGAAGAAGGAGAACCCTGGTTCTTTTTGTGATTGAACGGGTGGAAGCGTCAACCTTTCTGCATCATACCCCCTAAAGTTGTTATGCTTTTGAAGCCACAAACAAAGGTGACCCTCGTAGAAACACACACTGATGTTTGGGTTGCCCGGTTGAAAGGGTAAGAGGCACAGGGTGTTCCTTTCATGCGTCCACCTTGCTTCCTTTTGAATCCACAAACCAGGTTACCCTCGCTGATGTCTGGGTTGCGTTGCCCGATTGAAAAGGTAAAAGAAAAGGGTTCGGCTTCTCATGTGTCCACCTTGTTTGCAATTGCCAATGCAAAAAAAGAGGGTTACCCTTTCAAAAGACACACCGAAGTCTGGGTTGCATTGCCTGTTGAAAAAGCTAAAGAGTTCTCCTTTCATGTGTTCACCTTGTTTCTGCCTGAAACCACAAACAAAGGCTACCTTTATAGAGGGCCATGGCACCCCGAAGTATGGGTTGCACTGCATGCTTGACAAGGTACATGGCAAAGGGATCCCCTCAAGCCCACCTTGATTCCCTGTTACCCTCTCCCAATGTCTGGAAAAAGAAAGGATTCCCAATGTCGTGCGTCCGCCTAGTTTTCCCTTTGAAACCACCAGAAGGGCTACCCTCAAAAAAGGGAACTAATGAACGGGTCGCATTGCCAGGTTGAAACGGTTACCGGTAACCATTTTCCTTTCATGCGACCTTGGTTCTTCTTGAAACCACAAGAAGGCTTACCCTCAACGAAACACACTTGTGTCTTGAAGGAAAGCCGCATAACATGATGGCGCAACATAATGTTCATGATTCGAGTTCTTATTCCAAACCAATTCTGTATTCAAGCGGTAGGCCGTTTCGGGGTTTGGCGTCTGAGCAGCCAGTGGGATGAGAAGCAACAGACCCCAAAACAGCAGGGGGCCACAAGCGTGGTTTGCAGCACAGCAGTGCAACACCATGTACTTCGCCAAGTTCCACGTGGACAAGAATAATCATGGCCCGTCGACCCTGATTGCCATTGGCAATTATGAAGGGGGAGAGTTGTGGATCACAAACCCTGGTGGGGACGACGTGATCGTCGTGACGGACAGATGCAATTTGCTGCGCTGGTCTTTGCAGTGTTTCCCTAAAGGGCCCCTAACAGTAGTTGGTCTCCCAATTCAAAAGCTCTTTTTGCGCCTTCTTGCATGGCCCAAATAGGTTCTGTGTACCAGCCTCCTTCGCTTTTGCCTTTGGCTTGGGCTTCGCTTTAGCTTTTGTGGCCGCGGAAGCACCAACCAAGCTGGCAGCTGACCCTTCGAATTCAGCCCCCAACGTGTTCACATGGTCGGCCACCATTGCCATGGCTGTCTTGTTGTCTGGAAGAGCCCCCTTCGCTTTGATCTTGGTGCCGATCTTGGTGTGGTCCTTTCCTCAGTTTGGCCCGAGTGGGAACGACCATGGAAAATGTACGTTGATACCTGAAAGGCACCCCCAAAAGAAATCAGAACATGGGTCATCATTAGTGATCTTGGCAAGGCTCGGGTGTCTCGAGCGCAATCCCACACCCGGTAAATCTTCATGTCGGGATTGGAGGGATCCTCTCACAAAGGCGCACGCAGGTCTGTCTTTTTGAAGGTACCTTTTGCAGGTTTGCAAAACAAGAAAACAAGGACCTTTTGGGGTTAGGAAAGAAAGCCACCATCCTGGTTCACTTGTTCAACAGTAGTGGGATGCAGGAGAAACAAGGTCACTTGCCCAAAACCTTTCTGGCAGCATTTACTGGTTCCTTCCAGTTTCTTCCAAAGCCTTCATTCATGGGCTAGACAATGGCGGTCCTGCGGGTGAGGCTTTCCCTGCTGTGTGGCGATGATTTTGTCCAAGAACACTTTGCCAGACGGAGACTTGTATTGCTCACGCAAAACCATGAGGGGCAACTCCACGTAGCCGGTGCTTGTCTCTGACAAAGCAGCTTGTTCGTACTCGGCGCTGATCTCTATGCTGCTCATGCTCTCAGGGTCCATCATGAAGGCCTTTAAGAAGGCAAACCTGGGCATGTGTCAAGAGCAGATTTGGTTTCAAGACATGATTCTGGGCGCACGACTTCGCAGCGGAGGTGCTGGCAGCTTGGAACTGCTGGATCAAGCCAGGTCGCAAACCTGCCAGGCCAGTTTGTCAGATAGTCGGATCATTGGGGGTGGCAGGGTGGGGGTTGGGGTGACTCATATTTGTTTAAGCCAACCAACATTCAAATAGCTAGGGGCCTCCAGCAGCCATTCGGCGGCGCATGGCCTCGCGCTGCCTTTTCAACTCCCGAGGTTCCAAATCCTGCGGCCCCATCATGGCCTCAGTGAAAAAGGAGAGACAGAGAACCCAAACAATGACCCCTTCTTTTTAAAAGCAAGACTCCATACTGCATGGGTGGAGCAATCAACACAAGACAGTTTGTGTATATTCTTTCGCCCCGTGTCCTTTACACAACCCCTTTCCATAAGAAGATAAAGCACAGTTTCAAACTGCTTACACAGAGTTCAGGTTCTCCACCCAAAACTGCTATAGTACACAAAGCTCTTTTTCAACAGAAGGCACCAAAGCAGGTTTTCAAACTGCATGGATTGACTTCACATGAAAAGAAGGTTCTGCACTTAAGACTTTGTGCTTATACTAGTTTATACACGTTGCGGCCCCCAAAACCATTTAGGGACAAACAAAGCACCCAGGTGCACAAGAAAGAAAAAGAAAACAAGAAATAAAGAACAATCAACCAAAATAAAGGAAAGGAAAGGAAAGGAAAGGAAAGGAAAGGAAAGAAGAGAGAGAGAGAGAGAGAGAGAGAGAGAGAGAGAGAGAGAGAGACAGAGAGAGAGAGAGAGAGAGAGAAAGAGAGAGAGAGAGAGATGAGCTACCAAGTTGCGTTGATGCGGGCCGTGTCATCCTCGCTCAAGAATTTCACCTCGGCTTCAACCCAGGTCAGAACATGTTAGGGTTACAACCCCACCACCCCAAAAGAACTGATTTGTGGGAACATGTTTGCTTTGGAATGGCAATGAACTGTTTCTAACATGTAGCTTTCCAAGTTGAGCCCAAGTGTCTCTCTTTGTCCTTTTCCCATCTTCCCCTTGCAAGCGATCCATGCTGCCAGAGCGGTCTGTCAGGACGCTGGTGGAGCGCCGCAGAAACGCCGGAGGCCTGGGCCGGAATGTGCGATTTTGGGTGTTGCTGGCAAGCAACTGTGTGTGGGTGTGTTCATGTTGGCAAATCATGCAAGCTGAGCACATCACGGCGTCCCTTTGGCTTCGCTCGTCGAAGAGCCTGCCAGTTGGCAAGCTGTGTCGAAAATGACTAGCTGTCTATCTCTACAATCTCGTGTTTCGGGCGGGGCATGGCCTTAAATTCAGGCTTTGCCCCAGGGCTAACCTCAGGTTTGGCCGATGTTGAAACTGAGACATAGGGACGGGGACGAGGCATTGCCTTGCAGGCTGGCTTCCTAGCAGTAGGCTTTGGCTTAAAAGTCTTAGCGCTTGGTTTCGGCCGTGAATTCATGCCCCGCTTGCCTAAGACATCATCCTCAAATCGCTGCCGCTTGACCGGCGGGGTCTGCGTCTGCGAGTACTGCTGCCAGTAGTTCTTGTTCCGCTCCACCTTCTGCGCGTCGAAATCTCCCGGCCAGTAGAGCGTGTCGTTGTCCACCTTCTTCTTGTTGCTGGCCTTCATGGCGCGAGGGACATCGGAGGGAGTGTGCATGCTGTCCGACTTGCTGGCGGACATGTCCACTGAACCCTCCTCGGACGACTCGCCCTCCTCCTTGACATGTCGCCTCCAATCTTCCTCTGCATGAAGCGCCAGCTGCCGGTCAAGCTCCTCATTCATGTCCTTCTCGAAGTCGCACGCATGTTCGCCCTGAACGTAGGCGCCCACAGAAGCAGCGTCGTAGGTCTCGCCCGCATCACCAAGCGTGTTCCCCTCGTCCAGCACCTCCTTGTCGATCTCCTCCATGTCCTTCTCCATGTCCTTCTCCATGTCGCCCGGAGCAGCGTTGCCCTTCTTGCCCTTCTTGCCCTTCCCCTTGCCTGCAGCCTTCTCGCCCTTCTCCGTGTCCTCAGCGCCCAGAGCAGCCTTGCCCTTCTTCCCCTTCCCCTTCACGACCTTCTCCGTGCCATTGCCCGTCTTGCCCTTCCCCTTCACAACCTTCTCCGTGTCCTCGTCCTTGCCCGACTTGCCCTTCCCCTTCACGACCTTCTCCATGTCCTCGGCGCCCGGAGCAGCCTTGCCCTTCTTGCCTTTCCCCTTCGCACCCTTCTCCATGTCGACCTCGCCCGGAGCAGCCTTGCCCTTCTTGCCCTTCCCCTTCACGTCCTTCTCCATGTCCTCAGCGCCCGGAGCAGCCTTGCTCGTCTTGCCCTTCCCCTTCACGTCCTTCTCCATGTCCTCGTGATCAGCGCCCGGAGCAGCCTTGCCCTTCTTGCCCTTCTTGCCCTTCCCCTTCACGTCCTTCTCCATGTCCTCAGCGCCCGGAGCAGCCCTGCCCTTCTTCCCCTTCCCCTTCGCGACCTTCTCCATGTCCTCGCCCAGAGCAGCACCGCCCTCGCACACGACCTTCTCCATGTCATCGCCCAGAGCAGCACCGCCCTTCTTGCCCTTCCCCTTTGCGCTGCCTTTCTTACCAGGCGTCTCCGCATCATCCGCAGCAGCAGGAGCGGCAGCTTGCCACGTCTCATCCGCAGCAGGAGCAGCGCCTTCGTCTTGAGCTCGCGCGCGGGGCGGGCCCACACCCTTGCCCCCCTTCTCCACGACGATGCCCCTCACGAAGCCGTGCTTGGCGCCCTTCTTGCCTTTCGCTCCTTTCTCGCCCTTCCCCCACCAAGCGCCTTTTGGACCCTCCGTGCCCATGACGAGCCCCTTCGCAGCGCCCTTCGCCCCCTTGAACTCGCCCTTCGCATCCTCCACGCCGCCCATGGCAGCGCACGATCGGGACGTGGCCGGCGGCACGTTTTGGCACGTTTTGACCCCCTATATGCAGCCGGTGGCACGTTTTGGCACGTTTTGGCACGTTCTCAAGGTTCTCAAAAAAACCAATGCAACGTTTGCAAGTGGCACGTTTTGACACGATTCAAGGGACACTGCATGCGCTAACACGTTTTGACACGTTTCACACATTCAACCAATCGTGACTGTGTGTGGCACATGTGTAGGCATGCAAACGCGAACTTTCATCAATCACAGGTCTCCTTGCAACTGTGCCGAATTTGAATGTTTGCAGCTTTGCTGCGCACCCCAAATCACAAAATGGATTCCAGACCACTGTCACTTGTGTCCGACTCCCCATCATCTTTGAAGACCAAGCCGCCATCCCCGACGGGCATGTGGGGCTTTGGCAACTGCTCGAAGTGATCCGTCACCAGGCGGGCAACCTTTGCAGCCGGAGCCCAGGCGGGTGTGGGAGCGTTGCCCTGCTTTGGGAAAGAAGACCCTTTGTTAGCACCAGGAAACATGGCCTCAGTTTGACAAGGATCCTTTTATGGGTATAGTGATGCGAGGGTGGTTCTATTTCTCATTTCTTTGGTATGCTATGGCACTCAATGAGAGGCTGATGTTGGGCCTCTGCATCACACACGAATTGAAAAAAGACGAACTAATGCAACACAACTACCTGATTCATCCAAGTTGCTGTGGCACCCAGACCCCCTGGGTAAACACCAGAAGACCGGAGGTCCCGTCCACCAGACTTAGCATGTTCGTGAATGACATACCATGATTGATGCTAGCACCAAAATGTTGTTCAACTGACATGTGAAGTGTGTAAGATCCTGGCGCAGCGGACCCGTCCTTGACCATCTTTGTAGATGCGGGTGGTTTGCAGCCCGAGAAACGAGCGGATGCGCTTCAGCTGTTTCCTGGCAGGGCAGCATGTGAATCATACTCATAATCAAAGCCTGGCACCAACACAGTATTTTGCAGTGGGATTACTTCATCTACCCGGTGGGTTTCGAATGTGGCTCATGTATATGTGGAACAGATATCGGTGCAAGATGTAGCACACGCATCAGAAAACAGCCTCCTCTGCGGTGTGGCCCAGCACGCAAGCTTCTGCAAGAATGGTGCTGTTCCGCACAGAACCACCTAGGCACATCAATTCAAACAAAGTGCTAGGGGATTGACATGCACAGTGCAGTTGTGTGGCAGGTTTCAAAGTAGGACCACCAAACGCCCCAAGGGTCGTAAGCACTTTGATCGCCTTGGTCTTCTTGATCATCCTCCGTACTGGTCGAAATTGCCATAGTATGGATGATTGCGGTTGCTCGATTATCCAAAAGATGCCCTTGACGTGGCAGAGCTCAAGCCTTACAGCCACCCCCGATTGCACTCAAGCACCCAGTATGTTTGCAACAATGGACTAGAAAGGCTCAGCTGACCATTGTATGTTTACAAGCTTGTCTGTCTAGATTGTTTGGCTGGTTGCTTGTGTGATTGGCGCTCGCCCAACAACTGGTCGCCCGCCTGCCAACAGAGCCTGTGACAGACAGCTGTGGCCTGCGTGTGACAGACAGCTGCAGCTGAGCCTTTGCGTGCTTGCCTGTGTGCGCGCATGTGGGTGTGATCTGTGTGGCTGTGTGTGTGTGCGGTGTTCCTTGTGTATTTGTGTGTGTGTATGTATTTGTGTTTGTGTGTGTGTGTTTGTGTGTGTTTGTGTGTTTGTGTGGGTGTCTCTCTGTGTCTCTGTTCGTCTGTGTGCCTTTGTGCATGCTCTTTACATGTGTCTCATATGTCGAGGTTCAAGTGGGCCTGCTCGATTTGTCTGAGGGGCTGGCAAATAGCACAGTCGCCGGGCTAGTCGATTCGCCACCTTCACTGATTTGGCACCCACTCCTTCAGGGGGCTGGATTTGACAATGGCTCTAAGCACCTTGACAGCCCATGCTATGAGGGCTATGGCTTGGTTTCATTTTGAGGGCCCCCCCCCCGCAGTAGAAAAAGGCCCCCTCCAAATGACAGATTCAAGTGGTTTGGTTGTTGTTGAAACACTATTGCGTTTCCATTGGCACAAAGTAGCAGTTGGTTCAAGTGAGCCAAAGGGTCAAATTGGAGATGGGTCACATGGGGGAGGGCAAATGGGTCAAATGACAAACATGTTGGGGATCTTTGTGAGATGTCATAGTTGGTGGTTCCCCTAAGGACACTTGATTTTCAGGGCTTTGTGAAACACTGGTTCCAAAGAAGTGGTTGGGAATCTTAGGGTTCAACATGGGCCACATGAAGGGGGCAATGGGTCAAATGACAAACTTGTTGGGGGAGCTTTAGTTGGTGGTACAAGTAAGGGCACTGAGGGATAGCTTGATGGTGAAACAAGAGTTGTTTTCTTTGCACATCATGAAATGAATCTGATTAAGTGGTTGACAGACCTTTGAGAAATCAATGTTTCAGCAGTATATGGAATGACCCCGACCTTGTGGCCTTAGCCACGCCCTCTTTGTCGATCCCCGAGACCTCATCAGAATACCACAGAAATACAAAAAGAAGGGGGCCATGCAAAAGCCAAGGGGCATGAATACCCATGACGAGCACGGGCAAGCAAACCACGCCACGCCAGACTTGTGCATGCACCGTACCTAAGGCCGAGCGCAGCCAGCCAGCGCAGAGGTGGAGGACAGTGGGGAACGTGCTAGTTGCTGCCAAGTGGCCATGTTCGCGGCTACAATGAAGCCAAAGCATGTTAAGAGGTCAAGCTGGCGCCCATAGGTCACCTAATGCAAACACCCAAGCAAATGAAACGCGGGGGCGGGGTCCAAGGCACAATGCGAGCAAGATTCATCCAGCGCCCGTGATGCAAGGCCGTACCATTTCGCACCAGAGTGCAGAATGTGTTCTCCTGGCATATAGTTGGGAAGTTGCACAGCATTGAAAGTTCGAGGGTTACCCAGCCAGGATTTATGAAACCAAGACTGCCTTGACACACCTGTCAATTTCTTCGCGGGCTCACATGCTGTTTGTGGAAGCATGTTTGAAACTCCAAGCATCGCCTTTGGCCTTCAACTGTGCTACAAAGCCAAAGGCCACGTATGCCTGCGAAGACTTCCAGGAAGTGCAAAGCGTTCTCCGGGTCTGGCTCGCCAAGGCCTTAGACGATCAAAGCATGCGAGCACATGCTGTGCCATTTGAGAGTTGACTTGAATAGTAAGCATCTGGCTTTTCACAAGGGCTGTCAGCAGCACCGCAAGCTGAGAGTACCGCATTGGTGCAACTGCAGGTTTCACACTTGTTTGCTGTTATGCCATGTTCCATGCCATAGTCTTGTTGTGTGCCATAGCTTGCAAATGCCCTGACATCAGAAGTTCAAAGCAAACCCTCCTTCACATTGAGCAGGAACACATGCAACCATGGTGTCCTGAGGCAATGCAGACATGCTCAGTGTGGCGCAGGATGGGCGGCTGGGTGGCTCACGCTTTTTGGCACTGCAACTTCACTCGGCAATAGTCAATATTGCAGGATCCACCCCATTGGTTTTAGAAACCAGTTCACCAAAGCTTTTGTACGAACACCCGCTTGGAGTGACATCCAAACCTGGTTGGTTCTTTTTTGCAACCTGCCTGTAAAACAGTTTTTGGATCCGGTGACCTGGCACTAAACACATGCCATGCAATTTGCGGAGCATGCGTGAACCCATGAACCTGTTGCTGTAACAGCTTCAATCAAACATACCTGCGCCGCTTCTGCTCTGAAAGCGACATTGTGGCCAGAACTCGCTGCCTTTCCTCGGATTCTTTCCACCTAGACAGGTTGAGGTGCCAGGCGCACTCATGGGATTGAAACTTGCAAAATGACTGTGCACAAGTGGACGTGTTTCTGGCCTTCGCTCCTTCTCTGCGTTCACAAACTGCGGAAGCCTCAAAATCCGCATGACAGCAACCAGCGACTGAACAGTGACACCAATGAGTTGTTGCACATCCGCGCACGCACCAACAGCCAAGTAACTGCGCATAGAAGAGTTTCTTCTCCTTGCTGTATTCTGTGGGCTGCCCGGCTGTGGCTTTTGGTTTCGCAGCCGGCTTCGGGGTCGCTTTGCTTTTGCCCTTAGCCTTCGCCTTTGCTTTCGATTTGGCCTTGCCCTTAGGCTGGCCAGCTTTATCTTTTCCCTTGAGTGGCAAGGGGGCTTCCCTTGCACTAGCTGCAAGCAACCGTTGGGCGTGAGGGTTCAACGGGCAGGAGGGCTGCAGGCATGTTGCTTTTACATTGGAAGGCATGGGAGCCTTCAGCGTGTCCTCCACGTCGAGGGGCAGAGCATCCTGGGAGAAAGATCATGCTTGAGGCAATCCAACATGACATCTGGGTTTTTGCCTTCGAATCGAGCGAATGGCCTTTCTCAGCCATGGCGCAGGATCATCGGAGATCCGAACCTTCTTTTTTTTCAGGGCCTGCGAAATCGGATCCCCCGTTTGTTTCATCAGAAAAGACATCAAATGCGAGTTTGCTTTCTCGGAAGCAAACGGCCCCAGCCAACTCGGCGTCAGCTTTGCAATCGCCCAGCAGGTCAGTGTCGATGATCGCTTCTTTCCTTGGGTTTGCTTCAAAACAAGAAAACAAGAAATGAGGAGTAAGTCTCTCCCTAAGTAGTCCGTCACATCTGTTTGTGCTACAGCTCTGTCACAGCTGTCAGTCATAGATCTGTCACAGCTGCCTGGCGAACAACAGGTGCGATCACAGCTATCGCACGGATGGTGCGAATGGGAGGGTGTCACTTAACACCTAACATTGCAAACCTGTCAAGGGTTGCGTGGGCTCAACACTCAACGCGTTTGGAGGGGAAGGGCTTGTGCGAGACCCCACCCCAGCGCTAAACGCGTGCCGCACGCCTACAGTCACACCCAATCTATGTTGTAGCTTGCATGCAGTGTCATCATTCTCTGTGAAGATGCGGTGGTGTTCCTCCATAGCGGAAGGCCTGCCGTTCCCCCCCATTAATGTTGAGTTGTTGAGGTGACAACCGGAGACTTGTCTTGCTCTGCGGGCCAACCGGGAAACTACTTTTGATCCCGAATCCCAAAACGTTGAGAGCTTGAAAGCCAATGTTCCAGTTCGCAAACTTGCTTCTTCCAGGGGTAAAGCTGCACCAAACCTTGTCCAGTGGGGCAAAAGGGAAACCTTTGTTCAAACCCGAAATTGTTGAGGAGGCAACTGAGATCTGCCAATGTTCTAGTTGATGAGCTTGCTGTTTTCAGAGCCAACCCTGCAACAAGCCTTCTTTCAGCGAGGCAAAAGGGAACCTACTATTGCCCCCCACATTGAGGAGACAACTAGACTTGATTCAAAGTGCATTTAGAACTTGCTTCTTCGAAAGAGGTGAAGCTGCAACCTTTTTCCAAAAAGGGCAACTACCTTTCATTCCCAAACGTTGAGGACCCCCACATGTCGAGGAGACAACCAGGGACTTGACTA